AGTCAAACTGTCATCGCAGGCGGCGGTGCCATCGTCGGAGCACGGCAGAGCCGCCATGCTAGAATTCGAAAATTGGCCAAAATTAGACATTGAGGCTGATTTTGGATTTTTTAGAAAATTTGTAGGTACTTATAGCGCGTTTTAATTGCTGAAGAAAAATTCAGGGAACACGGGAACCGCGAGTAGATGCAGTCAACAGCTTAGTCTTTCGGACATCAAATTAAGTAAGAATCCCTCACTCCATCCTCTATTATAGAATTGAAGTTTAATTTTAAATAATATGATATTTTGTGAAACTTAGAAAATATCTATAATTAATTACGGGTCACTAATGGAGCCAGAACAAAAAATTATTCTCTGTTGATTTATTTTACAGTTTAAATGCATGATAGTATCTGATTTATCGATTTTATAGTTTGAATGCATGTATTGTTGCCTTACGTGACTATTGTTAAATTGGAAAACCGAGATATGATTGCATTCCCTTATGCATGTTTGGTTGTTTATGTGATTACGATTGATTTGAAAAATGAAGACTAAAGAAAAACAGAAAAATTATGTGATTAAGTGAATGGATGAAACGACAGCCTTACTGGATATATTGGGAGATGGTAGACGGATCGGGTACAATATGGAACCCTACTGTGAATGTTGTTTTATACTTGACAGGGTATCGAGACTTGGTAATTTAGCACTTATACCGAACCGGGTATGGGGACGATCCGTTTCACCCTTATACCGAACGAGATATTGAAGTTTAGTGGTTTGGTCCTCATACCAGATGAGGTATGTGGACGACTCTTTAATTGAAAATGTTGAAGGAAAAGGTTCATGCGTAGCGGGGACATCCCTATGAACCCTCATGGATACCGGTAGGCCGATAAAAAGAAAAATTGTTGTTTGATTTATTGAATATGGATTTATAATGTGTGCTTGTTACCAATTGCATATGGAATCATAATAAGTGCTATATTATTGTCTTTATAGGATGTTTTTACAAATCTCACTGCAGTAATTGGATAGTAAATGGTTTTGTTATTAATAAATGTATTTGTTTAATTAAGTGCTCTATTAGTTATTTTGATTCTTTACCAATCTTCATTTCTGTGTTGGTAAGTAGCGTAATATTTTTACTGGGATAATGTAGCTCATTCCTTATTTAACC